TCTCTCTCTCTCTCTCTCCCTCTGCAAGCGCATAAGCCATAAGCGAACACAAATGCGAAAGCAGGGGCTCGAATTCTCCTCCATTGACCCTGGTTCTAAGATCGAGGCTGTTCGTATTGCGCTGTTTCAACCTCCATGGCAGAGAGAGTGCAAAACGGCAGGGTGCAATGTGTCGTATAAGAACCTTGAACTGGACGAACTTAGCTCAAGCAACACCCAGCCACCACATTATGCTTTTCAGCAGTCTTTCAATGCCTTTCACAGAAGCTCCGTCAATTTCGGGTCTAGGCCTAGGCCAGGTTCAGACCCCCAGGCACAGAGATGAAAACGGCGAACGGAAGCACTGGCCTGCAGCCGCTCAACGAGGCTGGAGGCCTCCTCCTCTCGTGCATAGAGCTTCATCCTCACCTTGGCCACACTACACGCGGCTTGAGCTTTTCTTTGCCCCCTGCATTGCCAGAGCAGCAGGGATGTTCAGGAGAAGAAACATGGTACCTAAAGACAGCGACTGCGAGCTCGTCGGCTTGTCACTTCTGTTGCCACAGGTCATACAACGTGATGATTGTTTCATCGGACATCTGTCTTCACGACGAAATCACCCCATGCAAAGACCTGACATCCAGCTTCTCGGCGACATCTTGTCGTCACCGTCACTTCAAACACTCCAACCGTCACTCATCCTCTCCCCAGCACCAGTGAAAAACAGAATGCAAAAGATGCCTCAGGGTCAGATAGCCTTGGGTTTTTCCCAAGACTTAGGGTTTGATTGGGGCCTGCTGCTTGGAGCTGAAGGAGGCATGGCTTGCTGCGCGGTGCCGGGCCCCAAGCCTCCTTGAGCTCCTTCTCATGATCTTCTAAGGCAGTGCCCTGCAAGTGAACAGCGCGCAAAACACGTGAACACACATGCCCTTGTGCATGTGTAGGAATAAATATGCATATATATATATACATATGCCTACACACACATGTATGTATGTATGTATGTATGTATGTATGTATGTATGTATGCATGCATTATATCTATTAATATCCATTAATATATATATATATGTATATAGATATAAACATATATATATATGTGTGTGTGTGTGTATGTGTATGTATATATATACTGCTTTGAAATGTTCATGCATTTTATATATTTATACTTGTGTTGGCATTTACATTTCTACCTATACATGTATAAACAGCTGTATGTGTACATATATATATATATAATATGTGCATGTGTACGCAATAGGAGAGATAGCAACCCTCGACTCTTAACACAACTGGAAGCCTTCAGGTACGACTCCATGCGTCTGCATAGATGGGCCAGTTCGGCTATTGTCGTCGCCTCCCGGGAAGACACGACAGGTTTTCAACTACCGTATCTCGACAGGTGTGCCGAAACGCACCACAAAATCTGTGCACTGTTACCTCGTTGCCGCTGCTCCTGGTGGCAATCGGAACGGCCTCCTTCTGCGTCTTGAAGCACCGTAGCTTTTCTGTGATCCTCGGCCGCAACAACTCTCAGTCTAATCATGCACAATTACAGGACGCACGCGATGGCTGTCTCCACTGCCTTGCCGTTCAGGTTCATTGATTAATGACCCAGTCAAGCCTCATTCGGAACAAACTCGACGGCCTTTCCCTCTGCAGGGCGAAGTCAGTCTACGTGGCAAATACTGCCGGCAATGTAAATTTGGCTTTAGCGCTCTGTCGCTTTGTAAGTGATCACGCCTTTCGAATCTGTGGAACGTGCTGTCTGAGGGCCACGGGCCTCAAGGGAAAAGTCGTACACATAAGCATGTACGTCGCTTAACTGTGACAGGGACACGAGCATGCCTAAACACAAAAGCCCACCTGCCCTTGCCCAATGGACGGTTCAAAAGAGAACCATAACAACTTCGCACAACCTAACCACGTGCCTTTCATACGATGCTTTCACGTAGCCTATGTTACCCTATGTTGCCTCCCAACTAGATGCCATGTCAGTACATACTCACGAGCTGACACCTTACAACTGAGAAGTACACACGCTTCAACCCCTCAAATTCACGAGCGGTGCGACTCGTAGGCACTGCAAACAATGATGGCGCTTGAACTGCTTGGCCGCAGGGCCCTGGCACGCTCTAGCAGAAAAATACGGGGAGCACCCTAATTTTCTGCACTCTGCAAGCAGCAAGTCACTTGTCAATGCTTCCAAGCAGCACCTTGCAGACCAAGGTTTGCGTTGCCTTCCGGGTCGAAGTTGGCCCTAGGGTTTTATGGCCTTTGTATGCCTTTGTTGAACTTATTTTATGTTAAATCTATTGGAATCAGGTTATTCGGATATTCATCTCACCCGGAGCTTTTTCCTTCCAAGGGACATTTCTTTGCTGGGTCGGTCCTTTTCACTCGGCGACACAACCCAGAGCGAGAAGCTTGTTAAGCAATATACGACGGCAGCATCGGTGCACAGGAGAGCATCACTCCATCACGTCAACAGCAAGTAGTCAGAGTACAACACGACTTTCGGGTGAGTCGTCACTTTCATGAGGCCTCCATCATTGAGGCACCATGGGCACATCATAGCACACCCCAATCCCCCAAGACGATGCCTGATCCAAGAACTCTGCCGCATTCCACATGTAATGGTGGACCTGCCAAGGCTCTGCTTCTCGGTAATTGTAAGGGCTAGGCTACTATAAGGCTACTACAGTACAAGTATAAGGGTTATGATCATCTGCGTTTCAATCGGGGTTTGGAGCTTTTGTTGCTAAGACTACTTGATGTCATATCCTGGCTTAGGGCCTTAGGCTACAGGGAAGCAGTGGCAGGCAGACCTCGGCAAACTCGATTCCGACCTTGGCAACCCGTGCTACAAGAGAAGCTCCTTGCGGCTCAGAACCTCGCATGCCCTACGGCTCGGTGTTAATTTCACAGCGGCTACAGTACCATGCGCTTAGGACGAGGCCTCAGCAACATCATGTTCGGACGGCGCGTTCGACCCAAACCCCTTAGTAGTTCGTGTGGATGCAGCCAATAACCAGCTTTTGCGCTAGGGTGTGCGCATCCAGCAGGGCACGCAAACGCATTCCCAAGAGGCCTTGCTGTGGGGCCTTGGGCCCCTCATGAATCTGCATGAACGATTCCAACTTATTAGCATCTGTCGGGGCTCGCTGGATGCGTCAGAAAAATTGGGACCCAGCATTCCTTCGGAAGGCCAAGCAAAGAGAACATCGCCTTTGCAGCCATGTTTCCTGCGCCCTGGCGAAAGCCATGGCTGCTGTGGCCGCGCCGGTCATTGTCGAAAACTTGCGGCCCTGTGGCACACGCATGCACGCAAGAGCGGCCAACAAGGAAAATGTGCAAGAATGGCACACATGACTTCTGTGATGCCGGCTTGCCTTGCGGCCATGTGGCCTCGCTGTTTGGATTGGTCTGACTGCTCAATCTCACAGCGGCATGAGTGCAGGAGTCTGGGGGAAACGCCCTCCAGATGCTGAGCCAGACAGTGAAGTCTTCGGAGGCTCACCGTCGGTAGCAGTAGGTTGCCGACCCATCTTCTGGCACAAGAATGTTCCATCGCACAGGCAGGGCACATTTGGACCAACATGTGAGTCGAGCAGTCTGCCTGTGGTATTGCGATTTCTTCCGCCGTCTCACTGAAGGAAGCCCTGACAGCAGAAGCTCTGATCTGTGTTTCAAACAAATCACGGTCATTCGCCAACTGACAACGCATCGCATCGGCCTCAATAAGCAGAACAGGCAAGGCAGGAAGCACAACCCACGAGGCCGCATCAAAAACACCAGCCTTCGGTCTGCTGGAACACTGTTTTTGCTGGGCTTCTTCAGCACCGACGGCCTGACTTGCGGGGGGTGAGGCAGATGCTTTGAATTGATTTGCTGCGGTTGTGCCTGCCACCCTCCATCGACCTTATCGACCTTGACAGTCCCTGCCCACCTCCGCTGACTATTCTGGGACGATGGATCCGTCTTGGAACCTGACGAGGGGCATGCCGCATGCCTCATGTGCATGGGAGAGAGGCTTGTGCCACTCAACAACCCGCACACCTCGCTTGGACTGCGAAGGCGTTGGTGTTGGAGTTTCAGCAGCCACGGCGCCTTGACACCAGAACGGAACTGCCGCGAAGCCCAACAGGATCTCGATCTCTCGCTGGCTCCCAGGGTGTCACATCACGTTGTGTAAGCCACTTTCAATCAGAGGATATTTTGAGCTGACGATTTTTGAACAACCGACTCGAACAGCGAAAGAAGCTGTGGCTGCATGCAGCCATGAATGTAGAACTTGCTTCCGTTCTGTCAGGTGGGTAACAGGATGCCCGTGCCCAGCATATGTAAACTACATCACAGACACAGTACCCCCACTGCTTTAAGTCTGCTTTCCGAACTGCTTTCCCTTACGCCCTTTTTCCTGTCTGCGTGCGCACAACAGAGCCGCCTTGTCAAGACATGGATAATCGAACAACACAGAACATGCTCAGATCTTCGGAACCCGGCGCAAATGCGATTCCGCGGCAGCGACTTGCCGCAAATGACTCCTCAGAGTTCCCAGCTCCTGGTCGACTGAGTGCGCACGCCACATGTAATTGCCGCGGGCTCCTGCAGTCCTGAAGGTATGTAGTCGTTGATGCCACTTGCTTCGTGCGCAGATCATCCACCTGCGTGGCAGGAACCGACCGAACTCACGGGCAGCTACGGATAACTGTGATGAATCTGAAGGGCGGGAACAAACTTATCACACTGACAACATCGTGTGGCCAAAATGCCGCACGATCCAGCCGGCATGCAGACCAAACATCTGACTGCATGCCACGAAGAGAAGCCACAATGCAATGCTTCCATTTTTTGCCTGTCGCTGCGTCACATGTGTAGGCGGGTGACACATAGCACCCAAAAGCTGTCCTTCTGGACCGATCTGGGCAATTGAATTTTGACGGCTTCCACTGCAGCGGCGACCGTTCTCGTTCTTGCTGTTGCCTGCCGCGGGAATTGTTGCTTCATGCCCCTACTGAGCTGAACATCTCCTTGGATTCCGAAGCAAGAGCTGCCCAAGACGCATCTATCCCGTGCGAGACCCACGTCACCCACGCCAACATAGGCTCATGGAGCATTCGCACCCCGGAGCGGCAAGGTCCATATTCAGCATGAGGGCAATATTGTTTTTTGAAAATGCACATAAAAATCCCTTCGTCAACAAACAACAAACGAAAACCATGACAATTATAAACAACAAACGGGAAACAAACATTACGACAACCGATCACACATCTGCAAAAAACATACGCGATGATAACAACCATAACTTAACAGTTAATAACCCACACAAAACCAATCAAATCCAATCAAAAGCAAGCTACAGTAGTACGCATTGCTAGCTCGAGCTGTGTGGGTCGGCTAACAGAGGACCTGACCACACCACACCAACAACGGATGTCACCAACCCTTGGGTACAGGCAACTGCGACGATGTCAAAAACGAGTAACTAGGGCACGCCCAGTCTCGACATTTGGAGTTCGGATATGAACTGCTCTCATGAAACTAATTTGAACATGCACAGCATGAAGAAGCAGCCCCATGCCTGGGAGTCAACCCGAGAAATCATCAAGCCAGCACCCGGAATTCATGTCCATCCCTCCATTGCATGCGCTCCCGAAGCCCGAAACCCACCCGGCCCCGGTCTCACACCGCACCAACAGCGCAACTTGCAGAGAAAAAGTGTGCTTGGTGCAAGTACCACACTGCGAGATTCATGCCTACGGCTTGGCGGTCCACTACAGTGGTAATGTCAAGTGAAGCACCAGATGCCGGTGACGGCGGCTAGGAAGCCAGACTGCCATGCCGCCATGCCCCTAAAGGCTGCGCGCGTGCCCTCACATTCTTGACCCAAACAATAGGTTGTTCGATGACTTGCTCACCACTCCACTGCACTCGTTTCAGCACAAACTGCGACAACTTTGCTCAATTCACTTCACAAGCGAACAAAGAACAAGAGTCGGTAGCTCGCGCAAATCCACCCTTTGTATGCGCTCAAAACTCCACCCGTCATTGCGGGGTTTCGGGGTCCTTCTTTGAGCAGCTTTCGCTCAGCCCAGTGGGCTCAAGCGAATCACAACTAAAACCTGATCCCTGCTGCTTGAATCAGTCCTGAGCTGCTGCGTTTGGAGTGGCAGGGAATCAGATCCGTGCAGGGGCACAGTAGCACACGGGAGCTTCTTTGGAAGGGTTGTCGTTCGCGCCGCAATTCACAGCTCCGGGATCGAAGTAGAAGCATTTTCCATCGTTGCCCGTCGTTGGATCAAAGAAGATGCCGTTCGACCGGGATCCGCCACCCTGAACACAGGTCTTGCCAAACAAGCCTTCGATCAACCGCGTGGCCCTTGGCATCCGGAAGATCTGCTCCATCTCCGACACGACGCAACCGTTTGTGCAGACGTCATCGCAGGTTTGACCCACAGCTCCAAGCTGCCAGTTGACCTGAAAATCCGGAGAAAACCAAGTGGTCTGAGACTAAACCCCAGCCTCCATCGGGCAGAAACCAGGTCTCTAGTCTAGGACCTAGTGGGTACAACAGCAGGCGCAGGCAAAAGCTGAATTTGATCAAGTGGCAGATAGGGTTGTCGTTACTGTGGTTGAGCTGCAGAAGCATAAAGGTTTAAGGCTCGAAAATCCAACATCGCAATCAACGGTGCCTTTGACACTGAAGCACTGCGCAAAGGATGGATCGACGTTACTCGGATTGATGAAGACGCCCGTGTCCTTTTGCCGAATGGCAGCATCGCAGGTCAGATTCATGCCCAAGCCCTCAATTAAGCGGACGGCTCTCGGGTATGTGCTGATTTCTTGAATCATAGACTCATTGCACCCATCGAACCCGGTGAAGCGACAGAAGTCGTTGCAGGAGTCTTGGTCTTCACCAAAAGCCCATCCCGCCTTAGGGAAAACTTATAGCTAGCGGCATGCAGGATTCCACATCAGTGAGAAAGAACTGTCAACGCCGATCGAAACACGGCTTTAGTGGCATCTCCTGAGTCTAAGTTAATGCAAGGAGCAGCACCTGCTCCTGATCGGCTACATGGCGACGTTTTTGCATGCACAAACCCACAACTGCAGAAAAGTGAAGCACAGCCTGCATAATTTAATTACAACAAACAATATACGATAATTTTTAACCCCCTGATGTTATCAACAATGCAACAAGGTAGCATCCGGAGTGGTCGTTGACGTGGTGCCCTCGCAGTAGCAAACCGGGCGCCTTCCGACGTTTGACAATCCCTGAGTGCAGTCCACGGTCCCATCTACAAACCAGCAATCATCATTGTCTGCGTAGAAGATGCCAAAGTCTTCGTTTCGGTTCGGGTTTGTATTGCATGTGATGTTGAACTCCTGCAGGAGGAGGGCTGCAACAGCTTCTGTCGAGTTGATGCGAGCGATTTCACCTGCGCCGCATCCGCCATACCCATTGAACTTGCATAGGTCGTCGCATTTGTCTTGCGCATTCGCCAGCAGCCACATAGGTGGGGCCTGGGATTCTAGTGAAGGCTGAAACATGCTACTCGCTTTCAAGGCCTCCGCTGCAGACCGTTTTATACCTCAAGACCTCTTGCTCCGAAATGCCCGAATCAACACAGAAACCAGAGGAGCTGTGGAAACCGTGGTCGTTGTTGTGGCCTCAGCGAAAATGCTGTCACATGTCAGTAGAACTAGAGGAAAAGCCCAGCAGAAGTCGTCCACCGTAGCAGACGCCATAGCATCTGAAAGTGAGTAAACAACCCCGGCAGTCCGACGGCTGTTCTGTGTTGAGTCTGTCTCTCTCTCTCCCACGCGCACGGGGTGGGTCAGGCCCCGCGTGTCTGTCTGTCTCTCTCTCTCTCTCTTCTTCTACTCTGTCTCTGTCTCTCTCGGACACGTGGGAAAGGCAACGGTCCGACTGCCCTCCCACCCTTGCGCGAACGCAAAGCCGCTGATCATTGGCGGAAAGGAGGCGATCTCTTCCCCCGCAAACAAACCATCCATTACAACAAGTGCCCGTCTTCGGGCTCTCAGTTTCTAGTACAGAAAGTGTTGCTACTGCAGACAAGCATACTGAGGGCCTTCCAAACAGCAGATATTCCTGTTCTGTGGAGCTTGTAGCGTGGAGTCCACCCCAGTGTCCGTCAAAGCACACAACACTCTCTCTTTCTCGTCTCTCCGTCTCTCATTCCTGGGCTTCAATTACCCAAACCACCCCCGACCCCCATCTCCTTGCGGCCCAGCAACGATGCGTGTTGTGGTCGTTTGCTTTCCGTAGTAATAGTAATTGGCCTCAGGACTCATGACGCACAATACCACGATGACTGTTCTTATCACTTAGGGGAAAGGGCGCCGGATCTTGAGAGTTCTGCATTTGGTGGTGTTGTGGTGCCTTTTCTCACGTCACGCACGCCCCCTCGAACCCGCGCCCCCAGACCCCTCACTCCCCCCCACCCACCCCCAACAGCCACCCTGACACGGAGTGGGATTTGAAGAACGAACAAGTGACTTGACTTGTGTACGGTCTGGGGTCAAGCACAAACCGGGGAAGGACGGGTCCAGCAGCAGATTCGAGATACGGTATGAAATCAACCGCCATGGCCCAAGGGGTGGGGCCGGGTTTTGCGGCATGGGATCGTCGTGGACGGGATTCAACCGAAATCCAACTGCACTCGCCAACTGATGGAACTGATGGGCCGGATGAAGATATGGGATCAACCGCACTCACCTACTGAAGTTGTCGTTTTGAGATCTGAGATCAACCGCCATCGCCTGCTGAAAGCAGATTAGACGTGTGCGATAGCGGGCATGTGCACGCGGAGCATCAGCAGCGCATCGGCCCACGCCGCCCAAAACGCTGCCGGCACGCGGTCCGCGTGGCCGACAGAAATCCGAGCCCACCGAGCCTGGCAGGGAGCTAAGCCAAGGATCGCGCACTGGCGGCCTCATGCAGTGGGATGTGGTTTTCGGAGTGCATCGAGGGTGCGATGCGCAACTTAGGCGTAGTGAGCGACCATCAAGGCGAGGGAGGGACTTTGCGCAAAGCATGATTGGCGCGTGGCGATGCGCACATGCCGAGCAGCACCCACATGCGCACTGGAGGTCCGGAAGCAGAGGCAGTTGATCCAAGAGTTGCGCCCAAGCCCCGACGAACTCCGAATAGCCGATTGAATTGGCACGCCCAACACGATTATGCCCCGCTGCGGTGCAGGCCTGTCGCCACGGCAAGCATCCGGGCCCAGCTCGGGGGGGGGGGGGTCCTCGGTTGGGAAAGAAAACCCGCGTTTTGAATTTACCGACGTTGGATGCTATCCCGCATTCGCGCTCCACAGCGTGGACGACGGTGTCGCGGCCGCTCGCCCGCTCCCGAGTCGTAACCACGTACAGGTCATCCAAGAAGGCGACGAGCGAGTCAGAGCGGTGCAGCTCCGATGCTGCATGGCACAAGGCGGCATGTTGGCCTGGCGCATACTGACCGGGCGCCAGGAAATCCCCCTGCCCACAGCCTTGGCCTTGGCTCTCGACACGAGCCTGCGGCGTCCCACCCGCAGTCGGTGGAGGGGCTCAAACTTTCAATCTGAGAAAAATCAAACCTTTGCACTTCAAGCTCGAGTTTGAAACTGTTACCTCAAACTTTGAAACTTTCGAACTGTCACACGCTCGACCTCAGCGGCGAGCCGCGAACCGAATGTGAAGCCGGCCTTTCAAACTCGAAACTATCGAAACTGTCGAACTTAACGATCAAGCTCGAAACTCCAACCTTCGAACTTTCCACCATTCGAGCTTCAAAACTTGAGTCTTGCGCTCGAAGCAGCTCGTCGAGCTCGAAGGTTTGAAGGCTTGAAGTTTGAGATTTAATTTCAATTTTCTGAATTATTGAAAGCTCGAAGTGGCGCACACTCCGTTGCACATACCAAGGTGCTCAACCAATCGAACTCCTGCCCTCACCCTCGCGTCAACTCAAAATCCTACCTTTGCTGAACCAACCATGGCATGCGGCATGCCAAAAATCGCAGACGCAGGCTTCCACTCCCAACCTAATGTCAGAGAACATCTGGAAACCAAACAGATGTACACCAGAAAATCTGAATTACTTGCTCGGGACACTTGAGACTTGTCTCAGCTGGAAAGGAGCTACCGCCGTTTTCACAGACTGGTTTGACTGCTCCCTTCCTAGATGGTGAGCGACAATCTAACAGTTGCCAACACATTTCAGCGCACGGTTTAGCGACTTTACCATGCAGAAACGAACTTGATCGAAGTCGCGGTAGCCTTCCTCGCTTCCGGCACGGACAAGTTTAGCTCTATCTATATCCCGTAGCTTTGCATCTCCTCAATTTCGATGCTCAATCCTTCAACCCAGGCCACCTTGTACTTGCGACGCCCCCAGCGCCTGCCAGCATCGTTCACAGCTCCAACTCTCCGTCACTATTGCTAGAAGCGATTGGTTTGGGAATCCCTTCTCGTAAGGATGCGCTCGCTCTGCAGGTTGCAATACATCACTTTCCCCAGGTAGCCTGTGGCAAAGCCCTAGCCTCCGAGAACCTGAGTCGAAAAGCCGAACCCCGAAGTATCGCCATTTGGGTCGTTCTGTAAATTAGGGTCCCTGTTCGGGTTCTTACAATCAGGGTTTAGGGCTTCGGGTTTAGGGTTTTTTTTTTTATAAAGGGTGCCGTATTACATTAGCGACCTAAAATGGGACCCTAAATAAACAGAACCACCCATTTCGTTGCCTGCGATGCCGCCCAAAGGCCTGGCGCGGCGTCCTCGCAGTGGGACGCTGGAGCAAGGCGAGGTTTTTGGCAGTAGGAGCATTGGAGCGGAACTGGGTATATGTATGGCTACCTTATTTATGAAAGCAGCTCTACTTATTGTTACCAAGTCCCGTGATCCTTACCAAGTCTTGTGATCCCTCAAAGAACCCAATCCGTAGGGAGGCGACCACGGTTTGCGAGCCAAATCCCACATTGGGCCATTGGCTCATGGGGAGTTGTCCTGAGCAGTAGCTTTCTCTTGCAGCCTTCTCTAATTTCGCATCGAAGTCCGACAGAACACCGTGGCTTGAGTGCTTAGAACAGAGTTTTGGTAGAGTATACCCATAAGCTCCGTAGCATTTCCTTTCTAGGAGCACCTTATAGGATCCTAAATACAGTCCACAAAAAAAGGACTACTATGGAGCCTATGGGTAACTCAAAGGCCCAAAGCCTTATTCTCGTTGCAAAGGCCTAGACAACCCAATGGCTCTAAGACTCTAGGCTGAACCCTCCCATGAGCAACATCTGCGAAAGAATCACATCGGGCCCCTCCGCTCCTCCTTGGCCTTTGCCTTCGCTGGTAGCGTCGCCGGTGCACCTGCAAGCGCGACAGAATTTAAGCCAGTTTAGGCTTTAGGGTATTTGGGTACAAGAATAAGTCAGCTTATGTCAACTTCCTCTCGTGGCCCTCAAGCCTCCCTCAAGCCAAAACGGCTGTTGTTCATGTTTTGCTTTACAAAGTCCGGCAGCGGGGCATGCCCGACTGGCCGCCCGACCTTTTTGGGGGTGGGCTTCCTCGGAGTGGCGATAAGATCCTCCAAAAAGTTACCTACATTCACCCCTCGATTTCAACGCGCGGCATCGGGACCGGGACTGTACAATTTGCCTGTTGTATTCCTGAGCGAATCGGAAGGCAGGGTATGTAAACGCATTCGTCAGGTTTCTTCTTGTTCTTGTTACTTGTTGCTGTTCTTCTCCTTCTTGGTCTTGGTCTTCGTCTTGCGCTTGCCCTTGGGTTTGGGCGTGGGCCTGTGCGCGTGGGCAGGGGTGTGGGCGTCGGCATCGGCGTGGGCATGGGCGCGCGGGCGCAAAGCGCGCGGGCGTGGGCGCAGGGCCGTGGGGGTGGGATGGTGTGGGAGTGGGCACACGAGCGTGGGCGTGGGCAGGGGCGCGGGCGTAGCGTGGGCGTGGGCGTGTGTCTGTGCTTGTGCTTGTGTTTGTTCTTGTTTTTTGTCTTGTTCTGTTTGTTGTTCTTATTGTTCTTGTTCTCGTCAAACCTGGATTTAGCTGCTTGCGCTAGAAGACAGACAAAGCGGCGCGGACAGGGGTGCCCGGTTGTGTGGCTGACTCCCGCCCCTCCGCAAAATCGAAGCAAGGATACCTTGTAACTTGTAGAATTATCTCTCTCCGTTTCTGTTTCTCGGATTGCTACCATCCAGACACCGGCAAACTTATAGGGGCGAGTTGCAGCGACATGATATGGCACGGCCTTGACATCGCGTTCCACCATCGCTCCATGTTCCTGCGTTGAACACACTTTCCCAAGACATGTTCGCCTGAACCCTGCAAGCCCGACATTCTGCACCGTGGAATCTGATCACCACCATCCGCACGTCATGGAACATGCGCCTGCAAATTTTGTAAAGCTATTGCGAGTTTGTTCAACCCGTTGACTGAACATTACCTTCTCCAAAGCGAACCTGTCAAGCCGGTCCCTATTGGGCCTCTCCCGCAGCCACGTGGTGTTGCAACAATGCCAATTCGTCCGCGACACAGGCGGTGTCGAATCTGTCGCAAGCGGTAAACGGAAACGGGAACCGATGGAAACCAAACAAACAAATGGTAGAAGTGTTCCTCTTGTGTGGACATCATAACCATATAACGGAAATGGCATTGAAAGCATGTCATGTGGACTGCGGGGTTCGCCCCAACCTGCCACAATCAATGCCAGACTTTGCCGCGACGCTGATGGTCAATTGCCATGACGCCAAGCAAAACCAGGCGCACCTGGCAATCGGAGCTTATGGGCATGATCCCTACACCCTGACGCCAACCATCACCGCCAGGCTTGCCCGAGTGGTGCCGGCGCCATGACACCTCGGCTGCAAAGCACGGCAAGATCCCAACACGTGGAGCAAGGGCTTGCAGGAGGCGCACGCAAGCTCCTCGGCATTTTTGCACCCCGGAGCTCGGCTTGGCGTCTCTTCTACGGAGCCGAGCCGATGCCCCACAGGAGCTGGAATGCGCCGACAAGCCGGGTACTGTAGCAAGATTCCTTCAAAGTGGTGGTCGCCGGTTTCTTGTATTCCCGAAAGCATCGCGAAGGGCTCTTCCGCGCGATGCCTTTTGGAGAAGTACGTAGGATCAAGTACACACAGTACTATGCAGGCAAAGGGAAGTGTACAGAGCATAGTACTTTGCACTTGCACTTTGTCCGTTCGAGTCAGAGACTACGGTCCTATAAGGACATGGGTGACAGGTGGGATCTAATTAAGGTAC